ACCCCTTGTTCACTTTTGCCTGTCCCCCAGGAGCTTGGCAGAAAGCTGACAGCTCTGTGGCAGTCAGTAGAGCAAACATCATTTCTCAGCTTATATTCTGTTGCAAAAGTAGCTGGATACTGTGATTGATCGATGCTCCTGGAGAGTCAATATTCAGATCACATGCAGTAAATCCCACAAGCAACTCCAAAACTGCAGTGACTATGTCTCAGGACACTGCCAAATTCTCCTTCGCCTCCCACACCAGAAACCACCCAAGCTGATGGAGCTGATGTAAATGACATCAGCACACCAGAAGCTAGAGGCTGGCTCATTTCAGTCTCAGAGACATCATCACTGGACTTATAGCTCCAAGGGAAAGTTCTAGAAAAAGCAACATGTTCTTTAAAAGAGAAAACCACATGGACAGGAATTTTGGAGAGCTGCAGTAATGGGGTACAATACTCCAGCTGATACGCCACTCAAACAATGTCCTGCATCAGGACAAGCTACACTGTTTCTTTAGTCTAGTACAGGAACAAAAAAAGAAAATTAAAAAAAAAAAAAAACAAAACACAAAGAAACCAAAAACAATCCCAAAAACCCCCCACCAGATTAGAAACAGTAGGCAGCTCTGCCATTCAATACCAAGGAATAAAAATCAATTGTATGATCAATAGGCTTTTCTGTCCATAGGGCTTTGAAGATTCTGCTGTCATGGTCTCTGCTATAATTAGCACTTGATGAACTTAGAATGTTTGATGACTGTGAAATTGCATTCCTATGGAGACAATGCACATCTGGAATAACAGCATTCAGTTCAGGGGTCTGTGGAGTCTCACACCATTAAACACAAAACTTTAGAGTTTTCACTGTGAAAATGGGGCAGCCTCTTTGACATGCTAATATCAGCTCTGGTCCACTTGCTCCTCAAATCACTGGTATAGCAGATAATTCTTCAAAAACTCAGGATACACTTTTAAGCAACTACAAAGTTTGCTTGTTTAGGAATGAGTGTATTCTCCCAGCAGAAGGGGAAGAGAGGCAGACTACCCTTACTTCACCTTCACAGTCAGAATGAAGGCAGAATGGGGTATATCCCTCTATATATAATGTGTGTATATATATATATATAATAAATGTAGGGAGAGAGAAAGACTCATTAACAAATTAACCCATTCTAGCTTCAGTACAAAATAAGCTGCCGTGTAATATAGATTAGGAAACAGAATCTTTTGCTGGAAGAAAAAAAAGAGAAAATGCATTGCAAACATGATTGAGTCCAACTCAGAGTTTTGCAGGGCTGAGAATGCAAGGGAGATGTAGAGAAGAGTGTATGTTTTCTTCTCCAGACTGGAGAAGAATTTTTCACTGTGGTATTTTTATTTATACTGTGGTATTTTTCACTGTAAGCATTTTTGCCTTGCACACTAAATAAAAACAGCCCTCTGTTGCCTGAGCTGGGAACACACACTGGAAAAGGGAAGCTGAACTGGCAAAGACCAGACAAAGGGCAAGGAGAGGCTGATGTTCTCATGCCCAGAAACTTGGCTACACCCTCAGTTTAGAACAGAGCCCTTCATAGGGTCAGGATAAGCTGCACTAATGTTTCCACCTGTGCTGGTCATTTCTCATCCTGGCAACTGGACCCCCAGAAGAAAAGGCCCATTGTATCAGACAGCTGTTTCCAAAGGGTGGACACACAAGACAGATCAGGTGGTGTCACCAGCCCTGCTTTAAGGGCTAATGCCAAAGGAGTGTGACTTTCAGAAGACATTGGGTGAGAAGCTGACCCTCTCAGAACAAGGGCCCACAAATGGGATGCACTGTGGATGCAGAATGGGAGCACTGTGTGACAGCTCAGACTGGCCTAAGCTGCCTTTCGCTCCACACAAAAGCCTAAAACCAGAAATATAGAAAATGAAGGCCTGCAAATGGATCTTGTCCTTACAGAGGTGGTCAGGGCCAGTGTTCAGAAGAAGGACACTGGTTTTCGCTATCATGCTGGCTGAAGCAGAGTCCCCACCAGAATTCTCTCTTTTAGTGCTGCCTCCTCAATCATGGGAAAAAATTATCTTCTGTCTCCCTGTACGTCCCACCACTGCCCCCAGAGTTCAAGGAAACAAATGTAAGCCTAAATATTAAAAAATATTTTCATGGTTTCACTCTGACTACATGAGTTTTTGCACAGAAATTCAGCTTGGATTGCTGCTTTGAATCTCACTCTTGATCTCTTCAGTTTTTAAGTCCGCTATGGAAAGCTTGTCATGAACCATGGAATATGCTGAGTTGCAAGGGATGATAAGGATCATTGAGTCTAACTCGTGGCCTTGCACAGGAGCCCCAGGAATCATACCATGGCCCTGACAGCATTGTCCAAACACTTTTGGAACTTTGTCAGGCTTGGGGCTGGGTGTCTTCTCTAGGGAGCCTGAATTTATTGTGAAGAATAAGAAGTAAAATTGTTAGCACATTTCTAACACTCATTATGTGACAAGGTTAATGTATGGTAAGGTTGGAGGGCTGGATTTGAATCTATAGGTCTGATCTCAGACTTCAAACTGAACTTTTAAAGGTTTGTCCATGCTAACGCTGCTAGAATTTTCCAAGGCATTCCCATTTCTGATCTGTAAGGTCTGAAAGCTAACAGTTCTCTGCACATAAAAATACAATGAAGACAACACATTGCTGAAACAAGCAGCACCTCATATTTAAAGACACCTGCAAAAAATCTGTGAATTTGGATCAAAAACAAAGAAAAAATTCCCTTCATATATGACATGAGAAGTACCAGTGTGTATTTTCTGGCTGCTTTTATAAGGTGCCTATAGAACATTTTAAAGGTAGGGGTTAAGCATTCAACCTTTACTTTGAGCTTTCCTGCCCCTGAAGTGTTTCCATAGATACTTAAAATATAAGACAACCTGATCTTTGAAGGATGCTCTATTGAGTTTTCAGATATTATCTGATTGTAACACTTTACCCCTAACCTATTCTTGGCTTCTGCTTTGTATTATCATGAATCTCTAGTTTGTACCTGTAGGGGCAAGGTCTTAAGGTTTTTCCTTCAAACTTTAGTAGCACGGCACTGGGACCAGCTTTTGCTTCACCAATTCTTTGATCACAACAGAACTGCAGCAAAACCATAAAGACTAGAAAAGCTTTTTTTAATTCCAGTTCCTACTGTTTTTAAACTCCCCCACCACAACCCCCTTTCTATTTTTTTTTTTTCCCCAGAAATTGTAGGTGTAATTAGCTGATATTTGCCATTCAGCCATGACAGGTAGCAAGACAACCTGAATATCTGGTTCATCTTTGCTTGGCTATTTTGCAACCTGTTAAGTGGGTGGCAAAGGCTGTGCCAAATTTTTGTGTTGTCCTAAGGGCATATCCCAGCAGGCAGCCTGGAACATCAATTACTAATCTAATGCACCTGCCTTGTCATACTCATCTGAACTGACTGGATCATGGTTCATATTTAGGGAAAAATCCCAAGCTGTGGGAGCTGGAGGAGCTGGGACACTGACCTCAATGAAGTCAAGAGAATTTACATCAGCCAGAGCAGCAGCTTCGTAGAGCTTTAAATCAGTGGAGGATTTCCTCCATTGTTCCTGGAAATGTTGCACAAAAACACAATGTTCCCTCTAGTCTCTGTTGTCATTGACTTAAGCAATTACTGCTCTATATTCCCAAGAAAAGTGTGCAGCAGTATATATTTTAATCTCAAGGTGACTTACTGCCTGTTTTTCCGTGACGAGGGATGGGTGCTTTACTTCAATAGCTTTTATTAGTGGTGAGAAAAGAAAAGCCAGTGATCAGATTTTGTAATTGAGTAGAGAAGGTAATTTGCACTCCAGTCTTCTTGGAAATGAGGCTTTTTATTAGAAGAAGGAAAAGGTCTGAAAGGAATAACTGTCTTTCATGCATTGTGGCACATGTGAAAAAGGCTGAAGAATAGTGGGGGCTGTCCCTTTATTCCAATGTGTAGTTTATTCCTGGAGAGGAAAGCAGGACTAAATCTTAGCCAGATCTCTGTGGCACTGACCAGTTAGCTGGGTCTCAGGGGTCCTGACTGTGGGCAGCCCTTGTAAGTACAGACCTTGTCTTGCACCTATGACACAAGACACAGCACAAAGAGGGATTGGCTTCTGGAAGAGTGTGTGAAGACTGTGGAAACCTGCATCACATTCCAGGCTGTACCTAAAGAGACTTTCTCTCCTGCCACCAGGCCACAGGAGCCAGCACTGCAGAAACTATAGAAATAGACACTAAATAGATCTTTGATTGCTGACCTCTTTGATTGCTGGCCTATTTGAGGTAGGGATACTGCTCCCACAAAATCTGATGTTGTGAAAAATGAGCCTTGTGTACTTTGAAGAAGCAGAAAGCCTCAATTTTAAATAAAAGGCTTGGAATTAAAGATGGTGTCAGTAATTTAATGAGTGAGACTGAAATCAGTGGCTCAGAGAGTTATGATTCCACTTAAGTAGTCTGGAATATGGCTGAAAGCCCAAAGACTTTTGTTTTACATAATATGAAGTAACATTTTTGACAAGCTTTGGCAAAGTTTTTAGGTAAAGCAAAAAAGCCTGCTTACAAGTTGAATTTACATTTCCATTTCATTATGAAATAGCAATTTCTTTTCATTTGCTTATTAAAATCCAACATGAAACACAAACAGAAGCTGAAAATGCCAGCTTTACTTTGGATTTCTTCAAGAAAAAGAAATTAATAGCGAAACTGCAGAAGCAGTTGACGATAAAGTTTCCACTGTCAGGAAAAAACAGAAAAAACAGAAAAAAACCCGTTCATTTCCTGATTAAAGAACAAAAGCAAGGACAGTGTTATTTTTCATAGACTTAAAAAACCCTAAACCAACTGAAATACTGTTTCCTCATTTTATACAACAGAATGGATTTTCTCACTGTTTTTGTCTCCAACTTTTCTCTGTCTGCAGGCTATTTCCCATGCCTGCAAAAGCCAGAAAAATTTGCTGATAACATAAGTAAAGAGGAACTCACTGTAGCAGAGAGGTGTGAATGGTGGAGCCAGCCTTGACAGGAGCTCAGAAGAAGATTGTTTGTTGCTCAGAGGGGCACTAGTTGTGTAAGATGGGGGCGGCAAGATCAGCTGTGACTACAGTCTGTCCTGAGACTGGAACAATCAACTGCATCACTGCAGCAGAAGAAAAGAAACATAAACAAAACCTTCCCATTTAAAAATATTGTGTAACATCCTCCACCAAAATAATCAGCTTCTCAAGGTAAACAGAGCCCAGGACTGGACCATCTGCACTTTTTGTTCATGTTTTCAGAGCATGGGAAATACAGCAACAACCACCACCATCATGAGGTGCAGCTGAAGAAGAAGATTTTAAGCACCATATATGAAGTTTTACAGTTCAAAATTACTTGGGGGATCTTCCAGATGGGACACGAATATGAACTCTAGATTTTAATAAACTGGTGTGGTTTTGGTTGCTGCCTCTAACCTGATTTGGTAGCTGAGTATACAGAATAAAAAAAAAATGAAGAGAGATAACCAAAGGGGAAAAAAATTACATTGCAAACACAGTTCAGCCAAGCCTTATTTTTCAATTGGCTGAAGAAGGAAGCTTCTTACAGTTAATATGACCTAGAAACTGCACATTCCCCAGCAGCCCTAATTAGTTGAAGAAACTAAGCGTTTTACCACATAACCTTCAAATAATCTCTTTGAATTCACTGGTTTCCCATGTGTTTCTTCCTTGTCCCATTTCATACATTTAATGAAACATCTCAATCAAGGAGCAGGTTTTTATATGTGAGCAGTTTCTGTCTGCATTCTAAAGGGCTGAGATTTGAAATAAATTACCACTCTTTGTTTTGTTCCTTAGAGTAAAATGAGTGTCAGCACCATATCCTCTTTCTGACCCAGAAATGATTTCTCAAGTACTTCACCTCCCTTTTTATCTCCAAAGAATACTTCACTATCTCAGGAGGAGGAGAGTATGGGCATGGGAATCCAAAATGCTTTGTTTCTCATGTACAGCTGCTAATTGGAACATCCAGCCCCTCTCCAGCTTTGCCTTTGAGGTGGGGTATTTTGCTCTGCGCCCTGAGAAAATTCTTGTGGACAGAACACACTTCATACTTGTCAGGGCACTGACATTGCCACACCTGGCACATATATATGTAAATAAAATTTTATCCAGGGCAGAGGGTGACAGGGGCACCCATGGAAGGCCTGTTTTCTTTTATTTTTCATCCAGCAGCTGTTCAGAAATTGCTTTTCAGTGACCTTTGGCCCAATTTTCTGGAGCCGATCTCCTGTCCAAAGTAGTGTCATTCCATTCCAAAGTCTGAGAAATTAACCCACACAGAGAAAGTCTGGAATGTGTGCAGCATTTCTACAGCTTCTTCTGACTTGCTCCTTGTTTTCCTCCACTCACTTATTTCCACTATGACTAAGTAGGACAAATACAGTTGAAATTCCTATTGGAATTATTGCTATGGCAAATCCTGTACTAAGGGGAAAATCTGTTGGAGTTTAATCTATATGAAATATCAGGCCACATAATTCAGGTGGTTAAAGTGTTCATGTAATACAGGCACTTGATGACCTTCAGATTCTGGGGACTGGTTGGCTCAGTGAGCAGCCCCAGAATCCTCAGCAGGGTCACTGCTTGCCTCTCTCTCTCCCTTTGAACTGCACTTAGTTAAAAACTTAGACAAGAGATTTATAAGCTTATCAGTTTTGAAGTCAGCGGGTAAGCAATAAAAGATGAAGTCAACTAATCTGTAAAAGAATTGTTAAGATTGTTTTTTTCTAAAAATACTCAACTAAAAGATCATTTAAAATATGAAAAATTATTACTGGATTTTCACAAGAAGTCCAAATTCTGTTTGTGCTGAAGTTGTGGGGGTTTAGAATAACTGAAGAACATTGTGTGTGTGAAAGTGTTCCAGTGAAAACATTTGGCCAGCCCCAACAGACTCCTACAAAACTTCTTCCTTTGTCTCACTGTTACAAATGTGGGGGTAAGTACATAATGGAGTAAAGAAATTACTTATTGACCAAGGCTTTTATCTGTTCACTTTCTGAAATAAACAGACATTGTTGTTTTGAAGGCTATAAAAACTACAATGCAAATGCAAGCTTATGATCTGCAGCACTATAACCCATTAATGACTAGGCACAAGGAAGAGAGCAAAGGCCAAAAAGGGAAGAGATGAAAGAAAGCAGGGCATACAAATCTAACCTCAAGAACCAGCTGGAAACTATCCAGCAGAGGGTTTCCTAATGGAAAACAACTTCAACAAAAAAGCAAATTGTATTTTCACAATAATTATTTCAAGTCCACAGTGGGAGAAATTGCAATGAAGTTACATTATTTCAACAGTTTTCAACATTTTCAAATCCTACTTTAGGTCATAGACAAATGCTTAAAGGTTGAAATACCCCTTAGGAGGAGGGGAAAAAAAAAAAAAAGTTCTCCAGTCTTCTTTGTCCACTTGGATCTTACTGAGTAAGATTTTCTTTTGACAACCAAATTCTTATCAGGTGGAAGGAAACCCAACGGGTCAGAACCAGCTGAGTTGTCATTTGGCTCACAGCTTTGACAGCCTCTGTTTTCCTGGATATTCTTGGAGGGATGCTGTTCAGAGAAAGTGTTTGCTTCTGGTTCCAGATGCATTTCCTTTTCAGAGTATCTGGGGACACACAGAAACCAACACCATCAATGTTCTGCACCATGTTCTGACTTCTCACAGGGGGGTAACAGAGTAGGTTAGTACCGGTTCAGTGTCACATAAACACATCATACACCTGTTCTGCTGCACCTATCATTCCTCTCCCAAGAACTGCTCCTTTTCTTCATGTGTAAAATTTTACAGCTGCTTGAAAACGTGACCATATATCTGGCTCTACTGTTGCCTAGAAGCGATTCACTAACTAGGAACGTTGTGAAAAATGCAGTTGATTCTTGTTTTCAGCTTGGGAAAAATAAAGCAGGCTTATCATCCTCAGCCGAGGTGTCCAGCTCACAGCCGGGATGTTCCTGCAGGCTGGAAGAGCAGTGCTGGAGCTGGTGGACTGCTGGCACCATCTAGTGATGCCCGTGGGCTTGCACAGCTCCCTCCTGCCTGAATCCTGGCTCAGGATGGCAGAGATCTCTGGAAGGAAAAGGCAGGGGGAAACACTAAAACTACAAATAGTGTTACAAGGACTAGAGTTCTGTCCTTGGCATCACCATTTTTAAGTGGCTTTTCCTCTGACACACCATGCAACGCTGAGCTAAGCACATCTACGCCACATTTGTATGGATAGATAATGAGCTTTTTACAGGGCACAACAGAGTGGTACTTACTGGAGAAATCAAGATGCAATGGGAAGGGTCAGCCACATTTCCACATGGATTTTTCTGTAAATCCAAAGTTTTCCGTTTAAAAAAAAAAATCTAGACAAACCCCCAGGCTTTCTCTCCTCCCTGCTGAAGTTGTCAGCTCTCATATCTGCTCATATGGCAACAAGGAGAATTTACACTGGTCCTCTTTTAGAACCTTTTGAAAGGCTTTCAGTGGGGACATTAATCTTTCTCTTGGTCTCCTCATCAGCTGTGAGACTGGGCTTTGGTTCCATTGTAGAAATCAAGGTGGAAAATGCTGCCAGCTCTCACCTGCCATGAAGGTGGGCTGCAGGGGAGAGAGGAGGCCTGTGTTGGTTTCCCACCTTAGTAACAAGTTGCTCCGTTGTGAATTTGACTGTAGGTTCCTCACCCCATGCCAGGCAGGTCCCTTAGTGGTGCCTTGCTTTTCCTGACTGTACTTCTGCTTCCATACTGGCACAAATCAGAAGGGAAACAGTGCAGTGCTCAGCCCTCCCAGGACTGATACCACCTGTGAAGCTGGACACATCTTTTCTTTCTTGCTGCCCATCTTTGGGAGGAGATTTTTTTTTTGGTCAACCAAAGGCTTTTGTGACTCTGTCCTCTTTTTTTTTTTTTGGTCTGTTGTTGTATTTTTTTCCTTTTGAGGAAAATTAATCAAGGTATTCAAGGCCATTTTAGGTTCTGTAATATCAAAATCAGGCCAGAAAAATTTCTAGGGGAATTGAAAGCCAGTTGTAGTTTCAAAATCTTCTTTCTTTATGAGACATTCCAGAACTGCCATCAAATTACAGGCTCAGAGCTGAAACCAAATGTTGAGGCTGACCAGAACCAGTAGATGAAAAACCATTGTTTTCATCTACTGGCAGATATAGGAGGTCAAAATCAGATTACTTTGAAAAGAAAATATTTTCTTTCCTCTGTGTTCCTTCTTCTTAACCAGTGATCTGAGTTTTGGTGATCTCTTGAGTGCCACATAGCTGTAATAATAGCAGTATTATATTATGATACATAGCAGTATTATACACACCAAAGACAGTAGAAAAGGTAGAAGATCACAGAGATCATCAGGTTGGAGAAACCCAAGGACAAAGCAGAGGGCTTTGCCTGTAGAGAGCTGGCTGGAGAGAGAGAGGTGTCCCTTTCCAAATGAGGTCAACTCGTGTCCTCAGCTCAGGCAGGAGTTGGGTCACACCCATGGAGTGCAGAGCAAGGTGATCCCTAGGAAGAGGTTTGCTTAGCTACAGCTGGCCCAGGGGCATTCCACTGGAGTTCAGCCCTTGCCAGGGAAGGAGACATACCCTGTAAATTCATGCTGAGGCAAGAGATCTTGCCTGGGACTATGGGTTATGTCAGGGAACAAAAAAGAGACCCCCAGCCCCTGCAGTGGTGCTTGGAGGACCGGCCCAGGAATGCATACTCTTTGTGGGGACGAGCACTGCTCAGAAATGACAGGGTTTGGTTGTTTTGGTTGTTTTTTTAATTAGAAGTGGTAAATAGGAGTCCCACGTCTCAGGATCTGTGCTGTAAGTTACTAAGCTCTTAGTTTAACTTCAATTACATTGCCTGTCTCCATAGACTGCTGTGTAAAATAGGGACAACTCTTGCCGGAATTGTCAGAGCATTTCCAGGGTTTGCTGGCTAATGCTTGAAAAAAAGGCATAGAAACCTTTGAATGAAAATTCTGTGACAAAGAATTCAGGAGACTAGAATTACTCTCCTGAAAACAAAGCAAAAGAAAGAGCAAATTTGTGTTAAAAAAAACCACAACAAACATGACTCTAGTTCTGCCATGGGGAGCAGAGAAGCTGTTCACCTAAAAATTAACTTAAAAGCTATTGGTGACTTCATGGGGATTTTAATTTTTTCTTTTGAACTTGAGGGCAGAGAAGATGGGGAGGGATGAGACCAGAAGTGAGATGCTCTCCATTTTTCCTGCAATTGTGCTAAAACTGAGGTTGACATTTTGTCCCCAGAGATTAAGCACCTACTCACAGTCCATTCTTTTATTAAAATTACTCAAAGAGGTCTCACCTGAAGAGTTAAGTTGCTGAGTGACATCTGTGTATGAGCTGATAGATGCACTTTGCAATGCCTCAGGGCACTGTCAACATCCCTGTCCCTGGCATCCTCACCAAGGGACCAGTCACTGTCCTCCCACTCAACTTTTTGCCATAACTCTCCTTTGGGTTTTTTTGATGGAAACGAAGCCAGCAATAAAACTCATCCATCCCTCAGCTGCAGCACAGCCTCTCCTTCAGATGACAGCACCTAGAGCACTCTGACCTATACCAGGCTAAAGGAGACCAAGAAGGCTCCTTTGATGAGTGCAAGGGACAGGTTCTGCTGCCTGGCAAGAGCCAGGGTGCATTGCTGCAGGTCTGGTGCTTCCAGCCAAGGGGGAAATGCAGAGAGCTCAATTTACTAAGGTTAAAAATATAGCCTGGGCAAAGGAAGGATCTATCCTTTTAGATCTGCCTTTTTCTACATAAAGCTTATATTATACATATATACACTTATATACAAGAACAGTATTAAAGCAATTTATGTCAGCATAGCTAAGCTTTAAAAACAAACAGAACACAACCACACAACCACCAAACCAAAATTAGGAGCCTAGCATTTCAGCTCCTTCAGAGCATTGGCAAAGCCCAAATGAGGCAGCTGAATTAAGACATGAGCTTGCTCTGTCCCCATACAGGCCATGAGGAAGCTAAGCTATCCCTCACACAAGCCAACTCACCTTTTGGGCAGCTCACTGTGTGGGCAGCACCTCTTCCTGGCCTGCAAGGTACAGCAGAACCGTGCACTTGTGCTTGGCTACCTGGTTCTGTCAAAAAACAAATTAGCACAAAGCAGATTCTTAGCATGTTTTCAGCCCAGCAGGCTTTATCCTGGCTTTCTACTGGGACAAAAATAGCAGGTTTTTTGCCAGGGTGCAAGGAACTAGTAAAAGATAAGGATGACCTGACTGCAGGTTTAAGGGAAAATGATTTCTCAGGTTGCCAACCCACTTGGGTTCTCTAGATAAGCCTGTCGCCCTGAAAACTCAGCTTCTGAGCTTGCTGACATGGTTTTCTAAGGACTTTCCCAGGACAGTAACTGTAAACATAGATATGTGTATATTCTTTCTGTTACATGTCTTGTGATAGGCATCTCTCATGGCCAGTGCAGTGAGAAAGTGTTATCCTGACCATCCTATCCCTGGCCGTGGTCACAAGCCTATAAATCCTGGGAGGAAAAATAAACTTGGCTCTTTCCTTCACCACACCTCGACCTGTGTCCACGTGATCTATTCATCTTCAATGACAACATAAGCCAGCTTGTCCCAGGAACACCTTCCTGAGGGTGAGGGGCAGCACTAGCTGCGGTACAAAGGCCAGGGCCTCCTCTATTGATCCAGTCTGAAATCATTAACGCAGCACAGGGGAAGAGGCACGCAGGTACCCAGCCCCTGCCATCTCCTTGCCACACTCTTACATCTCCCTTGCAGTCTGTGGGCAGGCTCAGACACCACTCCAGCTCCCTGCCCGTGCCATAAACTGCTCACAGGCAGCCCACAAAACTCCAGGAGCAGCCCAAGCCTGCCCCTTGCCCAGGCACTGGCAGCCCCTGCCACTCTGCAGCCCCCAAGGCTACGTGCTGTGCCAGCACTGCACCCTGCTCCTTGCTGCTGGAGTAACAGCTGCAGGGCTCACAAACCCACACTTCCACTGTCACCTGCATTACCTCTGAAACACAAATTTAAATTCCACAGCTTCCATCAAGCTGCACTTCTCCTCCGCTGGCAGAGAATACTGCCCTTCATGCCCATCCTTCCAAATCACAGAGGTTCAGCATTGCATTTGAACCTTGTCCGTGTGCATGCAGCCTGCCCCTTGAGCCCTGTCCTTACTAAGGTGGGCAGGGAAATGAAAACAAGACGTGGAAAAGGAAAAAAAGTTATTTCTGGATTCACTGTCCCTGTCTGCAGCCAAGTCTGGCATCTCTGTACTGACTCCCCCAGGCCCACCTGCCTGGCTCCAGGTCCTCAGGAGCTCTGCCGATGACACTGGCACTGCTCATGCCCCTAATTTCAAATGGCTTCCACAGCCATTAATAAGTGGAAGATAGAAGCTGCAGGTTCCTTAATAAAGTTTATTTAATCATAACTATGCTTAGGAAAATACACTTGTAAAGGTTAATATAATGCAATTTAGTTTAACTTTATACTACATTTTGAACAAAAGACTTCTTATACATGATTTAGGTAAAAACAGGAAGTATGATCTGGCTCGTTTTACATCTATTACAAATGCAGAAAAGACTGTCATGCACTACAGTAGAGAGCATGAAAAAAAAAATTACCTTTGGTTTAATTCAGAGAATACAAGTATTGCACTGTAAAAGCATCAAACATGGTGCAACTAAACATCATAAACATGTTTCCATGCCAGCTTACAAAAGTTTGTTAGCTAGTGTAATTTTAGAGGGGGGAAAAATATATGTACACATAAAACAATTTCTTTAGCTATTTGGATTCTGTTAATATCATATGCACGCCACATATCTACACAACTGACATTCAAGAAAACTCTTGAATTTGATTTAATACCTTTCTACATTAAATCTGTTGAAATCAATGACATTACTGTATCTTAACTGGCCTGTCAGCTGTTAAACATTCTTTTTTAAATGACTAAAGTTCCAGCCTAGATCATCAAAATCCAGAAACAACAATTGCAATACCATGGATTTTAAGTGCCTAGCTAGACATTTCTTGACCAGTTTTCAGGGCAGTTAGTTTGAGTGTATAGATTCATAGAGAAAAAGCCCAAAACACATGACTCAACCAAGGGCTGGCAGTGTAGGGGTGTATCAGCATGCTAATCCTTCCAACCACGTATTGGAGGTTGAACACAAATATAGGTATTATTGCCAAAAAACACAAACATGCTAGCATTGGCAAAACCAACACAAAATAATTTAACAATATTGAAAAAGACCAAAAAAAAATCCAAAAAAAAAAAAAAAAGGCATTGTTCAAAGGGAGACACAGCAATGTAAGACCACCATACATGGTGGGCTACGTGACCCGCACTCCCCCTCAAATACTCATATTAGCAGTGCCTAACATTTGAGACAAACATAATGCATTACATCCTTGCCTTTTTACTGTAACATAATCCCAAACTTTGCAGAGAATTCCAACACAGTTCTGCACCAAGATTAGCTAGTTCAGGACGTTGTTGATGGGTCTCAGAAAAAATCAACTTTTCTTCTTCTCGTTAATAATTTATTTTCAGTTTCTCGGCTTGTGGTAGGAAACTCCACCAAAGAGGAGCCAAGTGTTGTCTTTGAAGAGTTCTTGTCAGATCAAGCATTGAAACCTTGACCACTTCACAGAAATGTGCAGCAGAGTATTTCAGAGAATCACCTTTGCTTTTGTCTCACAGGGAGGACTTTAAAGTCAGTCAACAGCATCGTTTTCTTTAAAAAACAAACAGGAAAAAATTATCAGGCCAATCCATGTGTTTACTTGAACATAGCTAAAGTCCTTGAAGTCTCTCACATAATGGCAAAGGCTCTTCGCAAGGATAGGAGGGGAGCTTTAAACCTCTACACAGTACTGGGATTCCCAGCATCTGCTCATATCACTCACAAATGGTGGCAACATTTATATATAAAGAAACACTACTATGAAGAAAAAAAAAATACATCTAAAACTATTACAACTGGTAGTTTAGGAAAACAATTCAACTAGGTTTGTCTTCTTAATGTTTAACATAAATATAGATGCAACTTGATCTTGAGTTGACAATGATTGTCGCAGCCAAGGTAAGGATTGAACACTATCTATGCAAACAAAAACTCACTATACATTATACAACTTATTTCTGCCTTGAGGGATGCCTTCCCTCTCAAATCTTTGGCCTCCTATTACCAATCTCTCCCAAAAGCAGAAGCAATGTAGAATTGTTGCTCTCAATTCATTCACAGCAGTGGGTTTGTTTGGAGGGGAAGATGCTGTGGGGACAACACAGTGAAGAACGGGGGTTATTGCAGAGCTTACACAGAGAGAGTTACTTGCAATGAAGTTGCTCTGACAAAATGCTGTCTGGGCTCTTCAACTCCACTCCCCAAGTAACAGCTGCCACCAAATTTGCTTCTTTGGAGCTGTCCCCAACTGCTCCTGCTGGAAAGGCAGCTAATGACAGTCAGAAGAGTGCACAGATGGGACCTGGAGGGTTTTGCTTCTTCCCTGCTGGTTTGGATTTTGTTTACATTTTGCCACTGGTTGGCTTCAAGCAGTTGGGTATGCAATCTTTCTTGCATTTATGTGTGCTAGAAATGGAATCTGTTTAGAATTAAAAACTCCTGGCATGACATGTAGACCTGAGATGACAATCTGATAACTTACATATTTCTCTCTGCATGGAAGCAGGATTGTTTTATTAAATATAACTTGAATTAATATGAAGCAGAAATTCCTACAGTTTTTTTAATGCCAGGTTTGTTGCTTACCAGTTGATTTATCTTTATTTGTTCATTTGGGGTTTTTTTTGTGTATGAGATGTTAGATTATATCACTGCTACTGTTTTATTTTTTTAAAGCTCATGAAGATTTACTGCTGTCCACCACAAAAATGAAAATGGAAGGAGGGGAAAAAAAATCACTCAGACTTGCAGAATCTGCAGACTGTTTCCACTGAGAGTAATTATTTTCCTGTCTGGTGATCCCAAATTATAAATCTGAATTTATTACTCTGCATGTGTATTCAAAGTATCATAAGCGGCATTTTTGTGACAGAATAAATCCTGTAAAAGTGTTTTGGAACTGCACTGGTATAATTTTTGCTCAAGGACTGTACAATTCTAAACCCAGTTAAAAATACATTGCCAAGCAGTTCATAATTTCAGCAACTTCATGCACAGTTAATCACACCCCAGGAAAACAAGAAAAATCTGCAGTAAGGAGCATCACAGAAAACTGTCCCATGGTAAGCAACAAGTCTGAACGTTTCCAAATAAAAAAAACTTACACATACAAAACCAAACATGCATATATAAAGTGTACATATACTGCACAAGCGCTATTCCTAGAAGATTAAACTGCATAGGTAAAAATCAAAAACAAGTGCAACATTTTAAGCCCTTAAAGCACAATCAAAAAACAAAAAGCAGAAATTAAAAATAACAAACTTGCTCCCCCACAACAAAGCCAATTACAGATCAATGATTAAAATATTAATCAAGATAGAGGTTCTCCAATCAAAAGTTGGAAGGACTACTCTCAAATTTTGGCTCATCATTCACGCTTAGGGGATCTGAAATGTACGTTCATAATTGTAATTAGCTTAAACAGTTATGTTCATCACTAGCCAACTTTGATTTCTTTTACAAAGTGCTCTTTATGTAATAGAAGCTATCTTCCTGGTAGAAAAACCATCAAGTAGTTTAACACTTTGAACATCAAGATACATTAAAAAGAGCTAAAAAAATAAAAAAGGGGAAAGGGAAAAAGGGAGAGAAAGAGTTGGCTGCTAGAACAAAAAGCAACTTTTGCCAGTGGCTCTATAAACATCCAACTTGTATATTGTTAGCTCCAGTCTTGTTCCTAAAAGTCAGTTTATAAATGAGCTGCATAAGCTAATAGACTAGAAGCTTACAGTGACTGTATAGGACACCTCATACACCCTACCTGCTTTCTCTAATTAAGAGATCCAATAGTTAATGAGTTCACCGTGACACATAAAGTTGTCAAAAATATTTTCAACTTAAAAAACAAAACCTAAACCAAAAAAGAAAACAATGCAGACACTAAAGCAAACCGTGCTTAAAAAAAAAAATCTACAATATTTTTACATAAGCTGTGTAAGATCTTACAAAAGAAGATTCTCCAAACACAGCTGTTTCTACTCCTGCCCTTTTGCTGCCTTCTCAAGATAATACACATTAACTAAGTGCCTGTTGAGGTGCTTGCTGTATTCACCTTCCTTTTTAAATGAGCGGTCACAAAAAATGCACACATAGTTCTCCCTGGCCACCGTGGTGTCCGGAGCTCCCT